TCATCATCATCATCGTCATCATCCACTGTTACAGGCAATGGATCCCCAGGATTTGTTTGATGGTTGGCTCTGATTCGCCACTTAACATTTGAGACCTTTTGCCTCATACTGGTCACCTACTAGCACCTGCTAGCTGCACTCGTGCTCATTTCACCTCAGACCCAAGGTCGCCCCTAGATCTTCCAACTGTGCAAAACGGGGTCTTGGACATGAAAAGGCATCAACATCTGCACAGTTGGAAGATCCAGGTGACTAGGTGTATTCTCATCTGATGCACCTTCACATCGCACCTCATCGCACCTCCCCCCCGGCCATCGCGTCGCGTCGCAGCGAAATCGCGGCCTCGCCTGTAGGTGATGCTCCCCACAGGAGTTCAGTCTACCCGTCCCCCTTCCGAAAAATGCATTGCCCAGGCTCGCGGTGAAGCGATGGAAGTTGGGCGCGGATGCCTAGGTGTATGGGAGGATTCATGTTCGTCACGAAGGGGATGCATTCGAGTTGTTGAGAGAGTGCTTGCTTTTTTGGTCTAGAAGAGGAAAGAAGGACACCAGTTAAAAAGACATACTCCAAGCCAGGGGTGTCTCCTTTGTGGATGGTTGGGGAGGAATCACGGGATTTCTTAGGATGGGATTGCATCGACTCTGCGACTTTTCAACTTCTTTCTTGCCTCATTTTGCCTTCCAAAGTGGTCCAAAAAGACGTTTGAAGCCATGTCACTTAGGACCTCGGGCTGGAGCGTTCTAGTGGTCAGAATCAATCGGCACAAGCTATACGTACATATACGTACTGTAGGCTATACGGGTTCCTTGCGCCTGCCATGCACGAGGCAACTCATGTTGTACTTTGTTCGACAAAAGAGATTCTTACAGAAGTACTTATACCAGCAAGAGACCCCAAACAGTGCCATGTAGAACAAGAGAAGGGCGAATAAGCAAACTTCTGCAATCTAGAGCACATACATGAGAGCACGCACACCTGTGAGAACACACGCGTATACACGCGTGAGAAGAGCACACGCATGAGAGCACACGCATAAGAGCACACATATGTGAGAGAACACATGAGAGCACACGAAGAGTGCGCTGCGCCTTCAGCGAAATCCCACCTGGGCGTTCACAAAGCGCTTCGCATGCCACGAAAACCACACATCAAGATTCACATCGTGCAGGCCTGCCAGTGCGTGTCGCAACAAATGTACAAAGACAAGTTGGAGATACCAAAACGAAGCGTTCGCGTGCGTCACTTCTCCCAAATTCGGAAAACGAGCCGCGTGTCCAAGGTTCGCGATTCACTGCACCTGCCACGAAATCAGAGCGCGCCAAGAACTCGAAATGCACAAAAACATCTCGAGAGCATGAGGCTGAATGCCTCTCCTGAGACTTACATTCAAATGAAAAAGCTTTCTCTCCATACGCCAACACTCCTGGGGGGGCAAGTGTGATAGGGTCCTTTGCAACAGGGTCCATGTCCAGTCATCCCTTGGGTGGTTTGGACACCCTGCGCATGGCCTAGGTGGCCTCGCAGTTCAGGCCGTGCTGCGGCTGAGGGGTGCATTGAATAGCCCGCAGCCGGGCTCCAGGCGCACGAGCCGGGAGCCTGAGGGCTTTAAGAGGATTATAGATATATATATATATACACCCTACAGGTCAAAGACCTCATTTTTACCGGAGTTGGTCATACAAAAACACTCCTTAAGGAGGCAAAGGAACAAGTTTTACTGGGTCTTTGGACTTGTAGGGTACATATACTCATTATATACACCTATAATTACTTATATAGATGGAAATGAAAAAGGACAACCTTGAAGTGTGGTGTAAGACTGCATTCCTCCGCTACTCTGTGGTTCCAAGGTCCCAAGTTTCGTCATTTTCGGGTTTGCAGCCAGGGACTCGCAGCCAGGCTTCTCGTATGCGTGCAGTTGGCTCTTAGGTGTTGAGGTGTTGATATTGGTGAGCAAGTCAGCCAAGGGCTGCTCCATGCAATGTGGTACATCTTTCGGTTCAAAGTTCACAGATTGGCGTTCAGGCCATGTTTTACCACCCAGCACTGAGTAGTGAGTACTGGATGGCTATGTCAACCTTACCTCCGAGGTCTCTCCTCTCGGCTGGAGGAAGGTCCTCCCGAGCCTCCCCAGCCGTCGCGACGCGAGAGCAGCTGGGCAGCAGCTGAGGCGAAGGACACGAAAAGATGGTCCTCGACGTTTGATGGTGAATGTCATCGAATTTCAGTGTATTGTAGGTGATTGGCTCTTTTCTTTTGATAAAGGCCGTAGGAGACGTCCATGACCATGACAAGTGCAGCTCTCCTAAGTCCTAAGGTGGTTTTAAGACCTTTCGATCAGTGGGTTGAACTTGCGGAAGGGTGGAGTGGTAGCGCGCCAGGTGATTCTTGTTGTATTTTGTTGCGGCACCTGTCACCTGTGAAAACAGCTGAAGAGGAATACGATGAACGCCCAAAGTTGTTCCAAAGGCCAGTTGGCTGTTGAACTACTACGCCCTGGCTCCGAGACCGGAACCGTCTTCGAGCCGCATCGGGTCGGAATACTCGGAACAAACCATCGGAAGACTCCATGCCATCAGGTTCTATGTACCTACAGAGGTTAAGTGACCTGAACTAGGACCCTACTAGACTACCTATAGGATAGTCTATAGGGTTCTTCAACGTTCTATGTATAGGTCTCGGGGTTACCCGGGTGTACCTTCCTGACCGATGCTCGTCGTTCTTCAGAACACCTCACGCGTCGTCCTGGGAGACATCTGGATGTCTCGTCGTCCTGTTGTCTCTCTCCTCGTCCTGTTCTTTTTTTTTCAGGAGTGTTTCAAAGTCCAAAGCATCATCGTCACGAACAGTTCAGCCACCTCATGGACATTCAATGACATGTGTATCGTATCTCCAGAATTCTATGGCGGCATTTTCAGCTCAACACCCAAACTCCAATCCGCAAAATGTCCACCCCACACTCCATATCGATCCATAGCCTTCGACCTCCGCCATCCAGGCCGCGAGTCCATGGAGCCGCGCACGCTCGTGGAGTCGCGCCGCACCAGTGACCCGCGCCGAACCGCGAGGGGCGGCGGAGAGGAACGCGGATGCCCGCGAGGGCGGAGGGCGAAGGGCTTGCGCTTGGAATGAGCAGCGGGATCGTCGCAAAGGGAAAGTGAGGAAGAACTCCTTTGGCTTGAAAGGCTCCCCCCCAAAAAAATTGTTCTGAGAGATACAGTACATTAAAAAGAAGGACTGGCATCATCCCGAGAACGTTGAGGTGATCGGTTCTGGATGTTGGACAGGGCGAAAAAGCCGGGAACCGTGACGTCAGCAGTGCGGGACCAGCTCTTCTGCGACGCCGGCACGCTCGATTCGGACGCTCGATTCGGATGCGCAGGGCCGGCCTTGTGATGGAAAAAGGATTGCTTTCCAACAGAGGTTAAGTGACCGTAAACAGGACCCTACTAGACTACCTATAGGATAGCCCTGGGAGTCAAAGACTATAAAAAGAATGGTCTTTAAGGGAACTGAAAGGAAACTTCCTTTACTCCAGCCGGTCAAAATATAGTCTTTTAACTTCTAGGGATAGCCTATAGGGTTCTTCAACCTCTGCTGGTTGGCTTTAGTGTGCTTTTGGAGTGGACAAGTTTCCCAAGCTCTCCATACAGTATGATGTGTTCTGTGTTTTTTTCGCTCTGCTCTTCCACTGTTTTCTGAATCGTCATTCAAACAGCTGTCAAATCCAAACAACTGTGGAAAACCATGCCCTAGACTTCCAACCCCCGTTAAATGAATCGGCTGAATACCGAACCAAGAAAAAGGAGTTACACTACAAAACCAGGTCTGTCCCATTTTGGTTGATGGTCTTCTTGAAGTCAAAAGGGATGAAGTCAAGGACAGTCAAGGGACTGATCCCCGGAGACTGATCCCCGACCATCCCTACTCAACCGCAAATCGCGAAGGGATCGAAGTCTTTTTGATCAAAAACAACTACAGTAGCATTCCGATCATCTCAACTGATCGAAAAGGAGTACGCAAGGGATAGACCCTAGGATTCCAACCCTCATTGGTTTAATAGCCTGAATCCCGAAGAAGCATTGTCTTGCTGTAAGATTTGTTCACGACCAACACCAGGTCGTTTAAATGGTCGAACTGAAGGCGAACGAGTACATGGCCCCTCAAACTTCCTCTCCCCCCTTGTTCCATGGTGCATACCTAATGTTCGTTTCCAAGTCACCCCCCTTGATCACCTCTTCTTTGTTGGGCAGTGTGGTGTGGCAGGTGATGTTTCTGAAACCCCGACCTGAGGGGTTTCATCCCCCGTTTCGAAGATGTTCTGGGACCCCTGGGCTCCTAACCCCCCCCCCCAAAGAGCTCCCATTCTCCAAGGCCATGAGGCTCCTCCACTGCAAGCCACCGGCCTGCTGGGCCTCGGCCCTGCGCTCCCAGCGACGGGTCCGGAGCGCAAAGCTGGAGGCTTCCGCCGCGCGGATCGCGGATCGCATGGGGGTGGCGGAGCGGACCTCAGGTGATTCCTAGATGAGTCCTGCTGAGGGTCTTGATCAGACAAGTGTGGTACCGAGTTCTTCTTTGGAATGGCAAAAGCGGGTCAGGGAATCTGGAGAGTGGAAGAAGGACTTCAACCAGATGCAACAAGGGAGAGATGGATGGTGGAGACCTGTGGAGACTTCTGGTCGTGGCCGCTGATGGTATCATCGACTCAGGCTCATGTTCTCTAACCAATTTGCTTAAGTTTGACTCAAAATCTCCTTTTTTGGGTCGCCAATTGCACCCTGACCCTGATTGAACTGGTGTTGCCCTAGGATTCCAACCCTCATTATCATAATAGGCTGAATCCTGCAGAACCATTGTTGTACTACTGGTAAGGATGTTACACTTCAAAACCAGGGCAACCATTTTTTGTAATCACATGGTCTTTGAAGGCTTGGGGTTGTAGTATAGAACAATGGTTGTTCGGGATTCGAACCCTTAAATCAATGGTGTCTCAGGACTCCTAAGGGTACATCCAATTCATCGTCTAGAACGTCACCTGTTGGACCCGTGGCTTTTCTCCACCGCCAGACTGAAGAAGCTGCACTTGATGCGATAGTGGTGTCACCCCAGTGAGGGTTACAAAAGGCGCTTAACTCGCTTTTTTAGAAAAACATCCAACTCTGCATGGGCGAAATCGGGCGAACTCCCCCCCCAGCTAGCCAGCGTGGCCACCTTCGGTGCCAGTTGCCAAGCTTCCGCAACTGGACCAAGCTGATGCACGGGAGCAGGACGGCCCGATCGCTCGTGGCTCCATTGGCTTGTGGGGTCCGGCCGCTTTCGATCCACGGAGGCAGAACTGATGATGCGCCAGCGAGACGCGGTTGAGAAGGGGGGATTGGAGTATAGCCTGACTGGTGCTTAGTAAGGCATGAGAGAATGACCTCTCACTATAGATACCATAGGATCCATTCCCTCATTCTTTACTAAGCACCAGTCAGTAGCGGTAGCGGTCGGTTTTGAACGAATGACTCCCACGTCAGACGGCCTGGCATCTCGCGAGCCACGACCATCGTGGGGCTTTTGGTGCTTCTGCGTCCACGGCTCGTGGGGGGGCGGGTTCTTCGTAATGGGTGCCGAGTGACCCCCCGTGAGCCGCTTGAAAGCGGCTAGCCCCAAGCAAAAATCGAAAGGGCTGTCCCACAAAATGATGATTTGTGACGATACGGTTTGTTATATAACAATTCCCACAGTGCGGAATCAGCTTCTTTAAATCAAAGCGGGTTTGGGGAATGATACTGGAATGATATTCTTGAACCCAGTTAAGGCTTGGCTTCCAAAGCTGCTGTTCTCAGCTTGTTCCCCACTGGATCGAAGAACACCCTGCTCTCAGCTTCGCGTTGGTCACTGGTATGTCCGAGAGTGGTCGGAAACCCGTGGTTTTTCCATACCTTGTGCGCCTTGTGTTTGTCCCATTTACCTGTACTGGCCGGGTTTCACAAGAACATCACTCAGAGATGTCGGCCTCCAACTGAACCATCATCATCCACTGGGCTCTGGTTTACTGGGATTTTACCCAATCCATCCCTGTTTTCAGTGTCTTTAGGGGGCCCATCCTCGTTGAATCGGCTTAAAGCGGTGAGGAGAGCCATCCGCCCAGTGGCAAACTGAAGATGCCGCCTGTGCCAATGCGCTTGGAGGCGAGGCATCACTGGAAAAAATGCATGCAGACAACAACGTGGAGGAAGGCAGTGGCGGCCATGCAATTTGTTCAAGCCCCTGGCCCCTTTAAGGCTAAGGGGTGTCTAATAGTAGCTCCTTAGAGGTGATTCGGGGTGTCCATGAACCACCCCAAGCAGGGGGGCCCTGGGATGCACTACCTTTCAAGGACCTAATTTGAACACTGAGTTGGCCAAAAGTTGAACTAGCCCCTCAACATTCTGTCATTCAAAAGCTAGCTTAAAGTGATCTTGGGTGCCAGGTCATGTCGCATTTTGCCATCCAGTGTGTTCAGTTTTTGTAGGGCATGCATCACCCCACATATTTGCTTTGTTTGCTTCACCCATTCCCTTGACCACCATGCTGGTGAATTCATCCCGAACGACGTGGAATCCCGCTACGTGGAACAAAGCTCCCTGTCCTTGGACCAACGGCCTGGGGCCGGGATCGGCGCAGAGGTCCCGGAGGCCGGTAAGATGAAAGTGGAGGCCCCGCCGTGGTGGGCGCTCATGGTTTGGGGAAGAGGCAGTGGAAGAGGCTGGTGCTTTTGGGAGGGTAGGCCACAGCCGCTTCGCCCTTGTTTGACAAGCTGAGTGGCATCCTCCTAGATCATTCCTGTGCTTGGAGCAACGGCCTCCTTCGGTTCAATCTTCAACAGTTTTGGTGTGTTTATGAACAACCAAGACCTTCCAAGATCTCTTTGGAGTCTCCAAGTGCCTCTTTAGGGACTAAGTGATCTCATTCCAGGATCTCAAAAGGTCACTTTGAGGGTCCTGGAACACGGTAATTACGTCTTTTCTTTCTGGCGCTCTTGATGGATTTTGATGAATCCTTGATTCTTCCTTTTCATCATTTTGAGCTCAGACACCAGCGATCACAGGAACCCCCTGTGTCTCATAAGCGCCTCAGGCTTCCCGAAACGAAAGCAAGTCGAAGGTGCCGGAGGCGCCACCAAGCGCGCAGCGTTGCGACCGTGCGGCCGAAAAGGGAGGTGGGATGGGTCGTGAGATGTGGTGTCTTGGTCGTGACTCCTTGTCTCCGAACCGCGGTGTTTGCAGAACATGCTGCTGGTCCGGAGCTGCGTTTTGGACCCAGACCATCGGATGGCACAGAGGCCAAACATGGCCAAACATCGAGCATGGCGCAGTGGCTGCAAGGAGTTAAGGCAGGAAGAATCTACCGTGATCGAGCAGAACAATCGCTTGTTCCTGCAGTGAACATGGTTGATGAAGGAGGACTCATGATTATTGGTGCAGAAGTGGACAGAAGGAGGGCTCATGATTGTTGATTCCGTCACAGAGGCCTGAAGCGGCCCCACCGGCGGCATTGCGGCCGGTGGGGGCCGGTGGCCCCAACGGCGCCTCATGTCGATTCTGAACGAGTTCTAGCACATAGACGTTGAGTAAAACCAGAAAAAGGCGGTGAATCGATTTGTCCAGCATGGTCATGGTTTGATCCAACTTTTGATCCAGTTTTCACTGCTTGGCCTCGACTCATGGTGAGTGTTTTCTCTTTAATGTAAAGTTATGGCGGTGAGACCACGACCCTGACACTGCTCTCAATGGCTCGCCCTTTGCTCGAGGCTGGTGTTGAAGTTGACATTGGCTTTGCTGATCTGACAGGCACCGACGGGTGGCTTCATGTGAGCTGGGCCAAGAATTCCCGCGAAGCGCCAGGCGAACACAATCACATCCTGGTCAACTTGGACTGCAACACCACGATCGGGAGCGAGTTCATCGGCCGTTGTCAGAAGCTTTCAGGAGTCCTGTGGTCTGGGGCATCCATGCTCAGGGTCACGAGTCGGGCACTACTGGGCGCATGTGCGTCCGTCTTTCCATGTTGCTTGCTCATGTCCGGCGATGCAGCGTCCATGCGGAGTGGCACTGACACCTGCGGTCTTCTCTGCGGATTAGAGTTCTTTTCAGGTGGCACCTTCTAGTCAGTCTTCTCTGCGCAAAATGATCACCTGCATGGTGAGTTGCATGGTACTAGCTACTAGTAGAGATCCATCAGAGTACCGCCTGAGTCCGCGAGCCCTAGAACCTCACAAGTAAATCGATTACCTGCACTTTAAAGCGCTTTCCGACCTTGACTATTTGTTGACTGCTCAGTCACCCCCTTGCAGGATACAGTCTCCACCAAGCAGACTCGTGCATCCCTTACCTAATCAAGCAGACTCGTGCATCCCTTACCTAATTCTGAACGTTTCCCTTTAAACGTGTATAAAGCTCCTCTAAGTATGAAGAAACTCGCCTCTCAAGTATTTAAATAAACACAGAAGAGACAAAATCCTGGGAAGTGTTCATTTTTCATTTCATTTGCTTTCTTACTTAAAGTCCTCACTTCAGCACCTCTTTGGTCGAAACCTACATGTCTGGGCTCCAAGTGTCTCGAGCACCGTGCTGTAGAAGGCTTCGAATGCGCCCTAATTCCATAAGCCACAAGCCCGAGATCCATCAGAGTACCGCCTGAGTCCGCGAGCCCTAGTGCCTCACAAGTAAATCGATTACCTACACCTTAAAGCACTTTCCGAACTTGACTACTTTTTGACTGCTCAGTCACCTCCTTGCAGGATATAGCTTCCACCAAGCAGACTCGTGCATCCCGTACCTAATTCTATGCAGTCCCCTTTGATGGTTGCCTGGAGCTGGGGGCCTAGCCCCCTAGGAGAGCTAGGCTCGATTAACTGGGGGGGATTTCTTGTAGAAAATTGGACCATTGGGGAGGAAATCAGCAACCAATACTTCTTGTAATTTGGTTAATCCGCCTAGCAGAACTACCTCCCCAGCTCTCACTTAGGGAACCACATCCATAGCTCACATAGGAGGCTACCTCCCCAGCTCACCTGGCAAACTACTTCAGCTCATCCCCCCTAGGAGAGCGGGTCAATTTTTCGTATTACTACTACTACTACGACGACGACGACGGCGACTACTACTACTACCACTACCACTACCACTACCACTACTACTACTCCTACTGCGACTACAACTACGACTACGACTAACAACAACAACAACAACAACAACTACTACTACTACTACTACTACTACTACTACTACTACTACGACTGCGACTGCGACTGCGACTGCGACTGCGACTACGACTACGACTACGACTACGACTACCACGACCACGACCACGACCATGACCACGACCACGACCACGACCACGACCACGACCACGACCACTACCACTACCACTACTACCACCACTACACCACCACGACCACCACCACTACTACCACTACCACCACTACTACCACCACCACCACTACTACCACTATACTACCACGACGACGACAACGACGACGGCGGCGGCGGCGACGACAGCGGCCACGGTGGCCAGGGCGGCCTTGGCGGCCACGGCGGCCACGACCACGACCACGACCACCACGACCACGACCACCACCACCACGACCACCACCACCACCACCACCACCACACCTACCACCTACTACCTACTACATTTTGTTTGATGAAATCCTAAAAATGTCTAGGGCTCAGGGCCTATAAATTGCCTTTTGAAACAGCAAGTTAAAACAATCATTTGACAAGCTCACAAAGGGTACCCTTCACAAGGGCCGGTCCCCCATCAATAATCTGCACTACTACCCCTTATTAGTTTGATCCTGTGTCTTTTTGCGCTTGTTTAAACTTATTGTGACTACTACTGCCACTACTGCTGCTGCTACTGCGACTACCACTACTACTACTACTACTACTACTCCTCCTCCTCCTGCTGCTGCTGCTGCTATTATATTTCTACGACCACCGCCACCACCACCACCACCACTACCACTACCACTACCACTACTACTACTACTACTACTACTACTACTACTACTACTACTACTACTACTACTACTACTACTACTACACTACTACACTACCACCACTACCACCACTACTACCACCACCACCTACTACTACTACCTACTACTACTACCACTACTACCACTACTACCACTACTACCACTACTACCACTACTACTACTACTATTACTACTACTACTACTACTACCACTACTACCACTACTACTCCTGCTCCTTCATGCAGTGGAGCCTTCACATGATAATCCAAACTTTCATAAACTTGCCCACAATGATCTGCTTCGAAGATTTCAAAGTTTGGAACCGCGTGAAATTCCGACTGACCAAATAGATGGAACCCAGTGAAGCTCCGACTGAAAAATTAGATCGCATCAAGACCCCTATAAATATCCTGGTCTCGCCCGGGACCACATTCTTGGCACTTGTGTTGCAGATGAGGTAGCTGCTCGCGCAGGCAAAAAACCAACACACCCGAGGTGCACACCTTCATAGATGCGATGACTGGAATCATGGGCAGATCGGTGAAGTAAAGTCTCTGCTTAAGTTCCTGGTTGCGCTTAACCAACACATCATCAAAACAATAGCGATTTTTACAGATCCTTTGGCAGATGATGGTCCCTGTGATCAAGCTGGCAACTGGGGTGCAATTTTTGAGCGACACATTTACAAGACGCACATTTCTTAGTGGGTTGTTTTTCTTAGTGCTTGAAACGCGGTATATACATATATATAGGTGCTGAGGTTTGGTATCGAGTCCTGGAGACCTCAACGCCCAGCAAAAAAGAATTAGCATGAAAACAGATGGTTAACACTCTGGAAGTTTCTTGGTGCTGGAGGCCTGGGCGTGATTCACCAGTGTTTGAGGTCTGCTGGTGCTGCATGTTTCTCAAAGCAAAGGGGGCGGCGCGATGACGAGTGATCAGATGAACAAGCAGTGCAAGCAGCGAAACAAGCTAACTCTGCAAACATGGAGAGTGAGAGAGAGAGAGAGACATAACCAGGTGACACCCACTCCACTCCTCTGGACTCATACTCGCCTACTGTTCCCTGCGCTTGGCATCGGGATGTGACTCCGTCTGCCGCTCCGATCCAAAAAGATCGACATGACAATACCGCCCTCTAGCGATTGAAAATCCTGGAGAAAGCAAACTTGGAAGGCCACCAGCCTTCAAATTACACGACTAAAGACGACACCGTGTGGTTTTGCTTGGTGGGGTCAATGCCTCCGGTCGCTCCCCGATACGGTGCCATGAGATCCTTGAGAAGAAAAGATGCGCGCCGATATCTTGAGTGGTTCGAGGTATAGAACTTCATAACAGGATTTTATAAGGTGACTACGCTGTGATTGTTTCGGTGAGCCTTGAACTCTAGGAAAATATATACAACACTTGGCTCATCCAAACACATTAGCTCCAGAAAATTTCGATCAAGAAGAAATAACCACCAGAGCCTCAGACACTAAGGACTTTATACATAAAGTCCTGGTGCAAACGGTCAGGTGTCCAAACAAGGTAGATATACAAGTTGTCAATGACTGCTGTCACATTTGCACCCGATAATTATTCATCCATTTGCGTATGTAGCATGTTTTACGGGACCACAATATGCTGAGTTGCTTGCTAGGTTCTGCCCATCCTTACAATGGCCTCATCATGATGATGTTTCTTGTGGCGGATATATAGCCAACAGTGGCATTATGTGGCATATTGTGGCATGAACTGACACGTTGCATTCTTTTCGCAAACAGGACTGGAGTTCCCAGTGTGGGTCAAGGTACGGGACAACACGTGCAAAACCATTTCATTGTCAAGACCCCCGCGTTCTTTCCCTACGTGTTCAACATTGCGCATTATAGTGCAGTTTCTTCAAGGTTTTTCATCCGAACCAATGGTCCCGCATTTTTCTAAGTTCCCTTCTACTAGTTTGAGACAGGACATTTACCAGCTGCCTAATATGCTAGTTTTCCAGAAAATATACGATGTGCATATCCATAACCTGCGTATCGATTCCACCCAGACGGTCTTGTGCCTATGCAACACTGCCACGCAATCCTTCATGCCAATCCATCACGTATTGTTATATCACAGATGTTTGGACTCCGTGCCGCTCCCA